AGAGCAGCATGACAGCCTGGATGAATCTGAAAGGAAATCTGTCTCTTATCATAGGGAAGAAGGCAAAGCAGAACCTTTCTGGTTGTCCTCCTTGTGGGATGTCCACTCCCACCCAAACTTTGTATGCCCTTATGAACAATGTACTCACTATCAATCACGCCCACCTTCTTTGAGCGATCACCCTGAATATTAACATATGCATCCATAATAAATATTATATTGGACAGCTGTTTGTAGAAATATATGCTTATTAGAATGAAAAGGGAAATGAACTATGAAGATTGAGTATCAACAAGGGCTAAGCAGGTCCAAAATGCGTCAAGTGAATTTTACCTGTGCACAATACCCTAGTTTCATATCCACTCCCCATTCATGAACAAGATCATTCTGAATGGAAAAAAAAAAGGAAAAGGCTTAGAGATTAATATTTAATAGCAAAAGTAAACAGAAAATGAGAAAATGATACGTGTTATGATACATGGTGCAAATTGACAGAAAAGGAAAGAGTAGATAATTTGGAAATGCAAAGCAGAGAATTAAGCAAAGAATCAACACTGCCATCGTTAAAATTCTATGTAGACTTGGACATGTAAGGTTACCTGTATGAGATGCCATGCACAATGCGAGGCAGATCTTGAAAACACAAGCCATTCCCTCCATAAATCTACAAAGGTGATATGAATGATTAAAATTAGTACTGACTAATTGGATAATTACACTAGATATTCTTCAAGATTTTCATCAATCCGCTTATCATCAGTCTTATCTACTGGACAGTCAGATGGCTTTAACAGCTCACAGCAGAGGATCTCAGGTGAAGTTTGGAAGATGAAAACGGGGGCAAATCCTTTTTAGGACTTGTATCCAAGCAATTGTAATTGTCCATGACACTTTTAAAAGTTAATCAAGTATAATGATATAGGATAGGAAATTTACATTGCTTTTTTTTTCAAATATTTTGACAGATGACATTATTACCATTAAATTGCTTTAAAATATTCTATAATGCTACTGAGCAATGTGATGATAACATAACTCACCCATTGCATGGTGGCCCCTCACTTGCATTTGAACACTTCGTTTTACCTCTGAGGTCATAGACTCTCCTGTGCTTGCCAAAACTTTTCATGTAAGTATACATAAATAATATGTAAGCGTTTTATGAACTGTCATAGATCATCTCATTCACCTATGAAACTTCTTCATTCTTGAGCGTATAGTGATTCTGTGATGTATTTCTGTTGAATTTGGGTCTAAAGCAGGCTGAGAAATCTCTAAACCTTCTGACTTCACAATTTCTAGGTACCTGGAGAAAGAAGACTGACCAATTAGTCAAATTGTTTGGGTTTTCCCCGAATGAAAGTATGCTACTGTCATTAAGCAACAAATATAAGCCTCGCAAAGCACAAATAGTAACCAAGTGAAAGATTGAAATAAAAGTTGAGAAAACCAGACAGAAGATTATATTATCATCGAATAACACATAATATTATGTATAGGCAAGATAACATCAAGATATTGCAGACAACAGAAATTTACCTCCTTGGATCGAAATGCTCCACCCGCAAATCTTCATCCCAGAGAAATATGTAGTCATAAATAGACACATTATCTGGATGTAGAAAACGCTTAGCAAACCACCTTAAAGAGGGAAGAGATCACTAAGCATATTCAATTAAAAGAAATATGCAAACCGAAGAAACACCATACTGAAGTAGCAACAAATACAATGATCATTTGGGCAATTCAATCAGGAAATTCCAGTAGAAAGAATATGGATAAAATAAAATGATCAATAACATTTATCTAAGACATAGGCTTTCTATTTTTCAAGCAGTTCCAAAGTCTGACCCTATTCTACGGTAGACCAAATTCCTGGAGTCACCAAATTCAAACTTTAATTCATGATGTTACACGTGCACTTGACAGCAGCACAAACTGTAGATTCAACAATACAAATTCACAGTGTTAGATGCAAATGTAAGAATCATACAACCAATGATTAAGGTGTTATTATTTTACAGGAAGTCCCTAGTTGGAAGACTCTAACCTAAAACGACTCAACCTTTATTCCCCCAACTATCCTATTGCTTGAATTATGAAATGGGTTACATTTTGAATCCAAGAGATAACATAAGTTTAACTCATTAGAAACTGCTTCAGTGAGATAACCTACAATATGTGCAGTCTGTGCTTAGATATGCATCAATCTCAATATGAGCATACAAATCCACTAACATGTTTCATAAGACAGAACAAAACAAATCATTTCACCAAGAGGGAGTCTTGCCACTTTGTTTGGTTATGAGCTACTATATGAATGGCTTTGTCACCCCAGTCAAGATCCCACCATCCATCCATATTGCCATCATAATGGAAAATAATGGTAAAATTCGCTGCAAGAAACTGAATTTAACAAAATTAAGCTAAGAATTTGCAGTTCATCAAATTTGAAAGTCATCAGGACAAGAAGCAATACCTTTCGCACAATGTCATCAACATTTTCTTTTTGCTTGATACCGACTGGCATTGCCAGCAAGTTCTTATTTGTGGTAACATTAACCTGCAATGTGATAGCTGTCCAACGTCATGAACAATTGTAAACAATCTGATCTTATATCTTAGAATAAAGATTCATGCCAGCATGCAAAAAGATTAGTCTTACCTTTGACCATGAACTACTCCTTGACCATAAGGCCTTAGCTCCAAATCTGAACGATCTTGCATGATGCCACGAGGCAAACCTTTTAATTTTGTAGAAGGCAATTGATATTCCTATGCATGAACATAATAAGCGCAACTTGGGTGTTGAGAAAACAATGACGATGAGGGAAATGCAACCAAACAGAATACCAAGGGGAACACTTATAATGAATTATTGGTAACACTTATAATGAATTACCAATTACACATTAAGTTATACTAAAACATAGTCTGAAGAAAAAACAAGGTGAAAGGTTTAAAGTTCTACAAGCTCAGGATCAAAGGAACTAAAAACTGACATTACATGGTATATGCTAGAATTAGCATGCTTACCTCTACCGTTTCAAAAGGGTGCAATTTTGTTTCAATCTGACAGTAACAGAAAAGCATTTAAAAGAGATCAGAATGTAGCTTTAGCAAGCCTCTTAAGGTGAGGTAATCTTCAGTGAGTAATCAGACACCTAATTCCAATAAACCAATGCCAATATGAAATTAGTGGGCTAAAAAAGGTAACAAAAGATCCCAGATTAACCACTAAAGGCCAGGAATAACAAATCCCATTTATCTCGTAATTGCAAACCAAAACCAGTAAAATCTTCAGAATAAGAGGAGTTGGCATACCTCTGTCTCATGGTATTGATAATTTGTGGTTCTATGTACAATAAACAACAAAACTGAACAAATAAGTTCCATAAATGGAAGCTGCTTCATTTTAAATTGCAGTTTCCGTGCAACAGCATCAAATATTTAGAAGCTTTAAAAATAAAATGCTACTGAAACTTCTATATTTGAAGATAAAGCATTTCTTTTCTTGACAAGTGCATTCCATGATTTAAATGTCTTCATAGACAATCAATGCTTTAATATTATCCTCATAACATACTGCAGGAAATTGCATGTAGAGAGAAAAAAAAAGTTTAACATCAAAAGTTTTTCCAGGTAAATGTAACAATTAACAACCTACCAACTTAATTTTCTAGTGAAAGACTATAAATCAAAATAACAAAAAGACCCAAATTTTATTTCTTTTTTTTTTTGGCCTCAGCAACTGATTTAAGGAATTTGAAGTTGCAAAAAGAAGATAAAATACATAAAACCTGAGAAAAGGGGGTGAAGGAGAAGAGATGAAATAGGTGAAGCCATTAAATCATGAAATTCAAGATGAAGGATGTGCATGTGCATTTGTGGGTATAAAAATGGCCAAATTTCAAAAGAAAAAATAAGAAGCTTCACATTGCCATTCTAAATTTGGAAATTCCACCGACACCCGCAAAATCTAGTAAATAATAGAACAGAATCCAATTACAAAGATTTAACGTTAACCACCACTTTTCCTTCAGTCATCAAAATTTCACAGCAACTATTACAAGAAAAAAGAAGCTAAATAAATAAATGGCCCCCGAGATTAAAGGGTTATTTGAAACATAGAGAAAATCGTTGCAAAAGAAAAAAAAAAGAACTTTTTTCTTTTTGAGCATTTGTTAGATCTAAGACTAGCAATTACTCTTTTAAGCTCCTGATTGAGATTTGAAACGAAAAGAAATTTAAAAAAATAAAGAAAAATCATTGTAAAGAGCAAAGTTTCGATTTTTTGATTGAAAAAGTAGAGAGAGAAAGGAGATTGAAGTATAAGAGGCTGTATAAGGAAAAAAAATCTTAAAACCGGATATTGATCCGCCATTGTCAAAAATAAAAAGAAAAAAAATAAAGGTAAATTGAGGAGAGATAATACAATGCATAAGGGACCTTGGAGATTGAATGGAGGCGAAGTGATTAATCAAAGCTGAAGCTAGAAAAGAGTAGAGCTTTGGAAAATTGTCGGTCGTCTGATTCAACAAAACCAGGTTCGATGAATCAGCAAAAACAGAGAGAAACAGGAGACAGGGAGGAAAGGGTCGAAAAAAAAAAAAAAACCGAAAGAAGAGGATGCAACGCCACGTTTCAAAGGGGCACCTTTGCTTTTGCATTTGTATGGGGTTTCAGGTTTGGTTTGGTTTGGTTTATATGAGTTGTCGAGAAGCGGATCGCCGACGTCTCCCCCTGTGACAACAGCTCCCTCTCCTTCAATTACACATTTTTTTTTTAATATAACAGAGTAAAAAAGAAGGAATTTTTTTTATTTCCCATCTTTCATGTAACAACAGCTGCAACAAACATCGCCGGCGTCTGTCTATCTGTCTCTTCCTTGTTTTTCTATGTTCTCAAGATATCCCATCCAGCTTGAATTTAGCATTTTTTTTTTTTTTGGGTCGTTCAATGTAAAAGAATGAACAAGAGAAAAAAGAAAAAGCTTCAAGGAATTGATGTATATTTCATTGAATATTATAGCTGACGAGTATATTTGCATTGGCACATGCTTACATACATGGATTTTTAACAGAAAGATTACAAACAGCACTATGCTGAATCAAAGAATGACAAAGCAATTTCGGTGGTGTACCAGAAACATTGAGATTCACAAGCTGGGTTCTTCCATCTTCATGTGGTAACCGGTTTCAAATGATGATACTTACTCGAGCTACCAATCGGGTACTGGCAAATGCGGGCAGAGCGAAATACGGTAAGGTGGCAACTGGCAAGGCAAAAGTGGTGTCGGCCCAGCCACTTTTTTCATGCTTCAGCAGCAGATGGTTTTGGTGGCGCCATGGTGGAATTCATCGTCATTCTTGAAGAACTAGATTCAGTTCCTGTGCACATCTTGCTATCGCACCACCTCTCCTGTAGTAACACAAAGGAAAAGACATTTATCATGTTGGCTGTTCGTTTACTCGAATAAAAACCAGTTAGGCTACACGAGGCTTTCATCACAGGATGTTCAAGTCATATAAACATCTCACCTTAGGAGTGGTGGAAGAAGTTTTTGTATCTTTTGCAGCTGCATAAAACACTGATTGCAGCATTCTCGCCTGCGTTCAAATTTTGAAAAACAATTAGTTCATAGTGGCTTCATCAAACCCATAATAGATGAGAGACTGAAAGGCAGATATCCATAAATGAGTATTAAATCAATAGCACCTCTGCTCAGCGTGAAGATCAACGCCAACACCGCGTGGGGCTGAAACGGTTGAGCGAATCACAGGACCAAAAACTGCTACAAGCTTCTGGAGCATCTCCAATGAGACATTTACATGCCTGCATTTTCACATCACAAGCACAAATATCAGCATAAATATCATAAGTAGAAAGGCCCATTTGTTTAAATGTAGAAAAAAGAGATATAATATAAATCAAATTTGCACCCACATGCCCAAAAGGAATTCATTTCTTGATACCCACTTCATTATTTTATTTTTCAAGAGAATAAAACTTTTGTTTTTGAAAGCAATGGATGGAGTAAATGTTTAGAAAAATATCTTACATTACCAAGAACTGCAAGTTTGTTTTGAAATTACCTTTCCATTTTGCTATCTAATAAGCCCATAAGCACAGGAAGCAGGCCAGAAAACAGATCTAAGGTGAGAATCTCCATTTTTTCCATGAGAACACTGATTACATCTGCTTGCACCTGCACTAGAAGTAATTGAGTCTGAGCAAGATAGAATACGCATGAGAAGCCTCTAATTACTACTTGTAAGCATCATTCAAACATAATAAAGCAACACACATGAAATCTTCCCATAAATACCCACAGAATGATCTGGCAGCTTCCGCAAGGCACCAATTGCTCCTTTAATGTCGTTCTTTTCCCAAAAATGCCGCACTACCTACACGTTCACCAAAAATCAATTAAGAAATCCAACCAAAGAATGAAAAATAAATAAATAAATAAGATCAGAGGCAAACAAAGTACTGAAACATGAATGATGGAGATTTCTTTTCCCATTTTCTTTTTACCAAACTTAAATTGCTTTCTTTTCACCAGAACAAAAGTTTGCCACCCGTCATAGATGTTTAGATGCACGTGCACATGTTCTAAACCATAACTACTAGTATAATATTCTACACTCCATTGATTATGCAATTCCAAGAAAAAAAAAAAAAAAAAGTAACACCTAAAATCCTCCAATTATATCCAAAAATCAATTAAGAAATCCAACCAAAGAATGAAAAATAAATAAATAAATAAGATCAGAGGCAAACAAAGTACTGAAACATAAATGATGGAGATTTCTTTTCCCATTTTCTTTTTACCAAACTTAAATTGCTTTCTTTTCGCCAGAACAAAAGTTTGCCACCCGTCATAGATGTTTAGATGCACGTGCACATGTTCTAAACCATAACTACTAGTATAATATTCTGCACTCCATTGATTATGCAATTCCAAGAAAAAAAAAAAAAAAAAGCAACACCTAAAATCCTCCAATTATATCCACAAATAAACAGCTAAATTTACCTGTAACTTTGTCAAGCGTGACCGGAATGTGCTTAAGACTACATCATGCATTTGCATCAGACTTTCAGTTATGTTTCCATCGTTAGCAGAGATTGACTCGCCCCTTGTAATTTGGCTTTCACTAATAGTGACATTCCCATCATTAGCAGAACTCAATCCCCTCCTAGAAATTTGATTTTCAGTAATTGTACCATTTGGTCCACTCCTATCATTAGCAGAGGTTGCTTCCCTTCTAGAAAGTTGATTTCTAGAAATGATCCCATCAGAAATGGAAGTTGATTCCCTTCTTGTAATTAGGTTTCCAGTAACGATCCCATCCAAAGCAGAGGTTGATTCCCTTCTAGAAATTTGATTTCCAGTATTGATCCTATCAGGTGCGAAGGTTGATTCCTTTCTAGAAGTTTGATTTCCAGAAATGATCCTACCAGGGGTGAAGTTTAATTCCCTTCTAGAAATTTGATCTCCAGTAATGATCCCATCAGAAGTAGGGGTTGATTCCCTTCTATAAATCTCACTTCCAGTAATGCTTCCCTCAGAGCTAGAAGTTGCTTCCATTCTAGAAATTTGACTTCCTGCACAGTTTCCATTATTGGCAGAGACTGATTCTGTTTTGGAGATTTGTGTCTCTCCTTTCTGTGAGGTTAAAATATGAGAAATGAATTTCATTCAGTCACAAAGTCAACAAATGTACATGCATATGTAAGTCTGTCCAACTTGGTTTAGATTTTAGACAGCTTCTTTAATATATGCATCATGCAAAAGCTGAAATTTGAAAAGTGAAGAAAAGATACACTTAAGCTTACCATTATGGCTGGTGTACCATCTGTTTCAGGTACCACAGGGGGTATACAAATACTTGCCGGACCACCACTGCTGTTTAACTTCTCTCTTTGTTCAAACCTCTCAACCAGAGTGCGCGTTCTCCCTGGAACAACAGCCACTGCCAAAGAGAAATTTCTGAGTATCAAATTACATTTAGTTTATATCTTATAAGACCTATCTGGAAAAAATAGCAAACCTCCATTGACAAATTTGACAGAGTTTGAGTCTTTGTTGCAATTGAGGGATTCATTACCTGAAAATGATAAGAAAAAATTAATTAATAATCATAAACAACTATAAGAATAAAAAATATTCCACAAATTATCACAAGATAGATAATAAGAAAAACAAAATAACGTACAAATGTATAACCATTAGTGACTTATGAAGAAATGATAACATGACGTGCAATAAAACTTACAAGTTTCTTGATTAGGGGGTGTCTGTTGTGATAACATCTTGTCAGATTTCTCTGTAACACTCTTGATGTTTGAATCGTTTTCATCACAGGAATTTTTGGCTCCATCCTGTGACACATGCCTAGTTTGAGAATTCAGATCCATTGCACTGTCTAACCTGCTTTTTATATGGCTAAGAGTTGCTGGTTCAACTGCAGCTGACAACTTTTCAACATCAAACTTGTTGACAGATAGTCTTCTAACATGAGCTGGTTTGAGCAACATGCCCGGTTTAGTCCTTGAAAAGGTGATAGTTTCTTTTCCAGAACTTGTAAAATCTCTCCCAACAGGATTGTCCCGTGGAACAACACTGGGTGTGATAAAAGACTTGTTATCCGATTGTCCGTTAGATTTAGCATTAATTCCTACTCCAGGACTCTGCTTCTCTGCTGCCAGATTACTTATTTCACTGGCATCCAATGGGAGTACCACCTTTGGAGAATTCAAAGAGCCATCTTTCTGTGTAGCAATAGGATTACTGCCAGCAGCTTTTCACAGAAAGAAAATATAGCTTAAGAACTTTTACAAAAATTTTACAATTGGAAATTAAATTCTCCTTCACGTTTATTTATGGTTATTATTGACCACGCAAACAAAGTAATAATAGGTAGAACAACCAGTTCAAAGAATAAAAACAACTGAAAAGAGAACTTACTGTCAACATATATGTTCTTTATTTCCTTTGTCTCATAATCAGGCGACACAGGCCGTGATCCCAAACTTGACCTCATGCCACTCCCTGTTTTCTCTGAAGAATAACTTCCCTCAAGATTAAATTTCTTCTCTGTACGATCATTTCGGCCATATGGCTCAATATGCTGAGACATGTGCAAACAAGGCTTTTAAGAAGAAAGTTTAAGACCAGTAAGTGTTTAATCAGGTTTAGACTTAAAGAGCAACAGGTCCAAATTGAACCAACAGCAACAGGTCCAAATTGAATCAACATAAAGGGAAACCGAGCTAAGAAAAGGATGATTGTAATTACCCCTACATCTGCCACCCAAACTCCAACAGAATTTTGATAGTACGAACAACCCAAAAGTTTGCCTTCATTGATGCAGAGGTCACCAAGCGTTGACCATCCCATATCAACAGAATCATGACAAACTACTGGCTCCCATGAATAAACCTACAATTATGACAACGAAAATTCAGATGTTTGCTTTTTAATTCAGATGGAATCAAGCTGGTTTTACAATGGAAGGTAAAACCTTCAAACCACTGTCTGATCCACAGAACAGGGTTCTCCCATCAGGATGGAAGGTAATTGAGCGAACCCCTGTAGCCTGAAAAGAAAGAACATAAACATTTTAAAGAAGTATGATGAAAAAGGTTTATTATCAATAATGGGAGTTTTTATTTAATTTTTTCTTTTCCTTTAAAGTGAGAGAATATGTTTCTCAAACTTGATTACCAAAAACAGAACGCTTAATACTTATCCAACACAAACTGTGTTAAAATTTTTATAGGAAATTTGCAGGATCATGACAAGAATAACAAAGTTTATTAAGTTATATAATATGCCTCCAATACAGAAACATTAGGTTAAGTGAAGAGTAGAGTAAAACAAGTTTTCCTGGCATTCTAAACAGCACCAATTCTTGGGCAAAGCAAAAAAGTTTTTGTCTTCCTATTAAAGAAAAAGAAAAGTGAAAACCATTCTATGACTGCTTTCCTTCCCGCAAATGAATATATAAAGTAAATGACTAATAGCTACATAAAATAAGTATCTTCAGCGCAGGGAAGGGCAGGACGGAGGATAAGCCTATATACCTCAGGTCTGCAAGATCCAATCAGTTCAAAGGTTTCTAAATCCCAGAATTTTACTGTTCTGTCAGCTGAACCTGAAAATTTTGGTCACATATCAATTATGATATTCCCAAGAAAACGCTGGTTTCTAGAGGCATAAAAAGAATGAACAATTCACAAATACTAGGTAATATGGTCCACATGCAAAATGACAAAAGGAACAAAGTTGAAAGCTGTGAATTATCTATATATTTTTACAAAAGAACAATGCATGAGACATGGAGTGACAAGTCATTATCCTAAATTAATGATTAAAAGTTGACTGAAAAAAAAAAAAAAACAAATCTTTGCGAGCAGGTTGAGGAAGTCTATTACATAACCCCACCTTAACCTGAAAAAAAAAAAAAAATTATCATGCTGGCAATGACAAGCAATACAGAAAAATCCAAATGCAACTATGATAAACTCACTGACTCCTACTGAATAACACTCACCTGTGGCAAGGAGAAACTCAAGAGGATGGAAATCTATGGAGCAAACGTGTCCTTCATGAAACTTAAACTCATTCAAGAGTTTTCCAGCAGTAAGATCCCACACCTGTTCAGCAGTGACATTAGAGAAATAGAACTGATGACTCATTCAATGCAGATGATGGTGCGATCACCAATTACCTTTACAACATTATCAAATCCACCGGAAACTAACCAGCGACCATCAGGAGTGAATCTAATTGTACTAATGCCTCGAGTATGGCCCTTGTATGTGTGGATACATCCCTTTTTTCTGATATCCCAGATCTTTAGATTTGTGTCCATGGAACCAGATGCAAAGAACTCACCAAATGGATGGAATTCCATGGCAGTGCAATTAGATCTGTGTCCAGTAAGTCCACGAACCACTACACTTCAAGAACAACATCAAGCATTTTGCAAGTTAATTATTACCCAAATTCAATTTGGTATAAAAGCTGATGATCCACCTGTTCCAATATTTAAACAGGTAAAATTCAAAAGTAAGAATTGGAGTTTCAGAATATCTTATCTAGCATTTTTCTTTATGTCTAATAAGCTCCTACCATGATGCTGTTATCATTTGACATCCAAATGATAGAGAACATTATAACAAGCTGTTTCAATCGGGCTCTTAACATTATTTCCTGAGCAAAAATCAAAGTCTTACTCTTTGTTTCTTCCAGATCCCAAAGCTTCATCACACCTGTAGATGCTCCAGCAAGCACCAAAACTTCTGCCGAATCAAAAGCTAAAGATTCTACCGGACTAGTATGACCACAGAGACTCTGCACATTAACAAGTATGGATACTCTTATTCTTTTATACAAAATACAACATCACCCTTATTCTTATTGGTATCTATTGATCCAAAACGTGAATTCAAGCGACAAAAACAACTACCGCGTAAGAGATACCGTCCAAAAGCTAAACTTGGCAAGAATCTAAGTAAGACGGAAGCATATAATACATACCATTAAAGAATTGGGTTTCCCAATTGCCCAAACATTGACTTTATGATCATCTCCACCCGTAATAAGAAGTCTACATGTCTTTTTTCCCAAACTTAGACAATTCACATTTGCTGTATGAGCCACAAATTCCTCTATATTCATTTCATCAAGGAAGTAAGTACATAGTAAACCCAAAAAAAGCCCCAAATAGCCTTTGAATTTTCATTTTTAGACATTTTTAGAAATTTGTTTTCTTCAACTTGAGGTTACTTATGTTCAGACTAGCATATCTGTTAAAGAATAAATCGTTATAAAAGCTTCAAAATTTTCCCCTTTTCCTCAATTTTCTTAACTGGCACACGGCCTGAGTTAATCAATAAAATTTTAAAATTAAAAAAAAAAAAAGAGAATAACAAATTTGAGCTGAAATTTATAATAAAATGCAAAATAAACTAAGAATTCATTTGAGAACTTAAACGAATTTAAGCGACAGCACCTAATTCAAGTTAAGCATTTCAATAATAATAATAATAATAATAATAATAAAAGGAAAATTTTAAGCTTAAGGATACGCAGCTTATATCCACGCTTCGCCATTCTCCACAAAACAAAATCCAAAGTGAGATCGGAATCGAATTGGAACCGCGATTATAATTAACTTCACTTTAAAATCTTCTTCAAGATTCAACTAAAAAAAAAGCGAAAATCGAAAACTTAAAAAAAATGTTTACTTTTCTTGGAATGCAAATCCGCCAAGAAAAACCAGGAATCAAATTCTGGTGAGAACTTGACAGCCTCCTAAAAAAATAAAATAAAAATCAAAGAAATCGAAATTTCAGACGAAAATTAAAAATAAAAAATAAAGGATTACTTGCTTTTCCTTTTTTTTATTTCTTTTTGTCATATGACGCGAAGCCCTTTTTTTTTTTTTTTAAGGCTCGGTCTTTAGCTGTTGGAATAGTTAAATTACTTAATTGCCCATTGTCTTCTACTTGTGGACGTGTCGGTTGGGACCCGGTTTAACCTCGTGGTTTAGGTTTTTTTGTCTTTTTACCTCTTTTTTTAAATATTTTTATAAAAAAAAATTTTTTGCCAATAAAAAAATTTGTTAATTTCTTAAATTTTCTTGGATTTTGGAAAATTATGGCTGTAACACTAAGTAAATAGTAAAGATTAAGAAAAAACTAAAAGGGGTTTGCGGCAAAAACAATTAACAAGTTGGGAGATTCCTTAAAATTAATTTTCTTTTTTTTTTTGCAAATTAAGAATTTTAGGATGATTTAGACGTAAATTGATAAATTAATTGACTTGAGGTGGTTAGCTTGTCAATTGGTTCATTAACTACTCTAAATTATTTTTCTCCTTTCTTGTTTGCACATACTTTTTATGACATTGATTTGTAATATCCACTCCATTTATTAGTATTATTATAAATAAAAATAAAAATAAAAAGTTTTGCATGAATTTTTGAATTAAGTAAAAATAAATATAATATTTGATATAATTTTAAATTTAAATTAAAAAAAGGTAAGTAAAAAAGTCGAGATGAAAAATGTGTTAGATTTATCATAAAAATAATAAAAAATATTATAAACATATTATAAAATGTGCACAAATACTCGAATTAATCAAATATATAAAAAATAAAAGAGATGAAGAGAGAAAGCAAAGTAAAAAAATAAATGCATGCCTGTGATTAATTAGACATACAATTTTCAATCTTAAAATCATATATAAACATTGATTAGGTGGTAGCCAAAATGTTGTTATAATGTGGCTATTAAGGCATAGCAACATCTAAATTCAAAGTTATAATGATTTATTATTAATGGGAAAGATGACTAATGTATGGATAGCTATTGATCCGAAAAAACCTAAGATTTGTAGTGTATTTAAAGCAAAGAGATGCAATGATGATTAGACTGTTGAGTGCCATAAGATATGCTGCTTCTTTTGGGTCACGTGGAGGAAATGGTTGGCAAAATGAATTAAATATTGTGATCTATATGTAGTTATATAATGATAAGGTAGTCTAAAATTGGATGGTGAGACCACATGAACCATCAAAAAGCAACCATTATATTATATTATATGTCACTACTGAAGGTCCTATTGCAATTGATATTATACAAAAATTTTGCTTAAATAAATAAGTTCTAAAAGAAAAGGTCGGAGATGAGCTCATTCAAATTTTGTGTGTTTTGACCACCTTGTACATTGAAGCTGGTCAAACGTCAAATTTATCAAAGCTAAACTTAATTGTTGCCTGGGACAATTTGGATTCTGGAGCTAAGAAGGAATGTTCCTGCAAAACACACATTGATCAAAAGATTACTGTCTTTTGAAGACTATGATTTATCCTTTCATTTCTTTTTGAATGAAATAATGAATTCGGATCTAATAACTTAAAAATAATAATTATAAATTATACATTTAAAATAATTTAATAATAAATTATTGATTAGATTTAAATTCAAAATTTTTATATTAAAAAATATAATTTTTACCAATTAAATCAACATTTTATTGATTTTTTAATCTTAATTTTTATGTTATATATAGTACATATTGCTCGTAAGATTGATAATTTAATCCGTTATCGTCAAGTTTTAATTTAATTTAATTTAATTTTATAAAGATAAATTTGTTAAAATCAAATTTTAGGTATAATGTTTATGAAAAAAGTTAAGATTTAATCAAAATTAAATGTTATACAAATTTATTAATATATATTTTTATTATTTATTTAATTTTATATTTATATTTAAAAAATAATATTTTATTAATTTTGAATATTATGAATTTAAATATATGCAAATTAAATCAAATTTAAATATAAAAAATAATATTTTAATATCAAATTATTGGATTCGGAATATTAAAAAACATATCGGAACTCGAAATATAAGGAGTTGTCAGACGCAAATTTTGACAGATGATCTACAGCTGACATGACAGCGGTAAAATGTACAGTGCCAGGGACAACATGGATAGCTCTTTTCCAGCACAGTAGATGAGAGAGTCATCCCTTCTGGCTCTTTTAACATCGTCTTCAAATTTAACCAAGTTGGCACCTATGGAGGTCCTAATCAAATTCAATGCAGTATCAGATGAGTTTTTATCAATAAATATGAATAAAAAAACATGTGGCTCTAAGTCATCTGTCACCTAGTAACTACTGATCACCGTGATATCTCATTGTCTTGTTCTGCCAATCAAAGGTGATTTGGAGTTTAGCAGCACCAAACTCCCCTGTTCATATACCAGATTTTGGAATTTTTGCAGTTGCCTACATGGTATCCATGTGGGTTCACATGCTTGTTAATCGTTTGAATCTCATCTCTCTTCCTCGTCTAGATCAAAACAAGAAACAAGTCATTTGACTGTCTGGGCACGACCCGACATCCCAATTCTTACATCTTAAACATCCATCAAATCCAAGAATCTCTGTCTTCAACCTCCATTCTTAAGGGCCAAAAAACAATCCGCCAAAAGGAAAATTTTAAAAAATGATATCAGAAAGTTACACAGAAGGCAAACGGTTAGCTCCTTCCCTCTGGAAAGAAATGATTGAAAGACCAACTGAGCAGAATCGTAGGCTATTGGATAGAACCCAAATGAGCTGGGGGCCTTGAACAAAAGGGATCGTATGATATGAAATGGGACATTGTGCTGCTGTTATCTACGCACATCGGAATATTTTGATGTTGTTACTTGCAAGTTTTAAATAGAGGTGGTCATTTTGATTAATTCGATTAATTTTAAATTAAATTATTTAAAATTAAATTAATTAAATTATTTTTATTAATTAAATTAAATTTATTAATTTTAAAAATTAATCGATTAAATTTAATTCAATCGATTTAATTAAAAATTTTATTAATTAAATAATAAATATATTTAAATTAATTTATATTTTAAACTTTTAATTTTTTATATTTTAAATAAATTAAATAAAATTATAAAATAAAATATTTAAGTATCAAAATTTTATGTTAAAAATTCTAATAATTTATAAAAAAAATGATCAATTTTATATATTTTTTATTTTATATTTGAATTATATTATATTTAGGTTAAATTTTTTATTAATTTGATTAATCAAAAATTAAAATTTTTTAAAATTTATTTTATTAATTGATTAAAATTAATTTAATAATTAATTAATTTAATTAATTAATTCGAGTAAAATTAAATTATGAATACTCCTGATTTTAACCGCTTATTTGATAGGTTACGGGCTTTGAGGTATTGTGGTATTGCCATTCACTGTTGTTGACCATAAAATTGATAGAGTTGAAGGTGGATGCACGGGTTCATTGGGCTGTCAACTTGCAATTAAATCTGGATAACTACCTCACACCAATTTGCATCCATGTGGACCATTTTTTTTCTTTCTCCCCAACGCTGGGATTGTACCAACTCTGACGTATTATAGCCAACACCAGTAGTACTATTCCATCATCTTTAAAACAGCTTTACAGCTTTGCTTGGTTGGGTGCCAATAACTTCTTTTGGTTGAGAAAAATGTACTACTAGCGTTCAGTAAAAAAGTTGTTGACCTATTACTCCAAATTAGAATTAAATTTCGTAATGTAAAATATGATATTATATTAATAAATAATTGATTTAATTAGATTTTTAAAAAATATTTTAAATTTAAATTTTATCGATAATTATTTATTAAATTATTTCGAATGTATGATATATAATTACTTATTTTAGATTATCAAATATGATACATTTTATTTTAATTTAAAAAATTAAGTAATTTGTCTATTTCAAATTTTTTTTAAATGATATTATAATATAATATAAATATAATATAAAATTATAATAATTATTATATATATTTAATAAAATAAAATAAAATATTTTATATTTTTATATTTACATAAATTATTATATATAATTTTTATATAAATATATAAATATAAATATTTTATATTATATAAATACAAGAATCATTAAATTTATTTAAGATCTATAATATCAAAATTCAATGATCATTCCTATTTAATTAAGGTTTGATTTGAGTGGATGAAAAAGAATTTGCACCACTATAAATGTCTTATTATGATTTAATGTTTTTCGGGTACGCGTTCAAATCAAGCTTTAAATTGTTTTAGCGACGGGCAAACTTGCTTTTGAACATGCTTTGATAATATGAGACCAAGCCAGTTATTAATGCAGATAAGCCGCATCTCCATTTCTGGTCTTTCAGTCTTGCCTTTTCAACACTCGAAAAATAATTTGCAATCGGACGGGAGAAGACAAAGGCTATTTCCCAATCATGCCCTATTTATTGTTTCACTTACCATTCCTGCTGCCTGCCACTGCATAAATGCATTATTTGCAAAATTCTCCGGAGCTATTCTAATCCATTGATTGCTTGCGGAGTCTTCGCCTCTCCTCCGATTGAGTATCGAATCTACTGAGATTTCTGGACACTTGCCTGCATAAATGCATGTGTTCACTGCTCATGTAAGAGAGTCCTCCGTAAGTTTGTGTTTTTCATACATTTTATTGTTCATTAAGTCGATTTCATTAATTTTAAATTGAAAATATTCGAAATTAAATTAATCAAAATATATTATATTATTTTTATTAATTAAATTAATTTTTTAATTATAAAAATTAATTAGATCGATTTGATTAATTTTTTTAATTAATAAAATAATAAAATAAATTAAGTTAAATTATATTTTTAATTTTTTATATTTAAATCAATTTAACTATAATCATCTAATAAAACTATTTAAATATCAAAATATTAAATTAAAAACTTAAAATAAAATTAATAATTTTATATATTTATTTTATTTTATTTTTACTAAAATTTTACTTAATTTAATTTTTGAATTGAATTAATTAAAAATAAAATTTTTTTTAATTATTTTTAATAAATTATCAAAATTAATTTTATAACCGCAATTCGATAAATTAATTTAATTACAATCGAACTTTGAAAACTCTTAATTTTGTCCCAAGTAGAACTCAACATAAATTTTATTTTAAAATAAAAACCCTCAGCAAGTCAAACTTGATTTCCTTTGAAGAGCAAACTGATCCAAACAGAAAATGGATTGAATGTATACTACCCTGAATCAACTTGAAAATCAGTATGAACTAAACTGAAAAATATTAACTATTACTGCAACAAATTTCAACTCCAATCAGACAATTCCCCACTTCTTTGAGCTAGAAAAAGTGTAAAAATCCTAAATTGTTCGTGCATTTTTTCTTCTTCGCAATTATTGCCTCCTCTGTTTGGAGCTTGATCTGATCATGTAACTGGGATGGCTTTTGAGGGTGTAATTGATTGAATTTAAACCTATATAATATTAAGTTTGAGTTGAACTTGAAATTTAAGATTCAAAATTCGGTTTGAATTTGATTAATTTTTTTTTAATTCGAATCTAACTTGAGATAAAAATTAAATTATTCGAATTTATTTGATTAAGTTCAATTAACATATAAAAATAAATTTAATTTTTATATTTAATAAAATTTTGATTATTTATATCTAAATTCGATATATTTTATTAATTAAAATATAAATATTTAATAAAATTTATCTACTATTTAAATTAGATATAAAAATATTTAAATTCGATTCGATAATAATTAAATTATTTGAATTCGAATTAATTTGATAATAATTAAATCAAATTCAAATTTTATTTAAATTAAATATGAATAACTTATTAATATTAATATATTATTTATAACTCTAAAAAAATGAGCATTTTCATGCAACGTAATTTATTTAAATACTTTTTTGTAAATTCATTGAAACTTGTAGGTCACGTGGTCAAACCCCAAACCATGAAGCCAATCACCACCGATAGATCACCTCTACCCCTACATAAGTTTCGAATAATACGGTTTAGTGGCCCCAATCAACCGTCCATTTGATTTAGATTAGACAACCCGTAAGAAAAGATCACACCAGAATCACATGTACCGACGGCAGTAAACATACAAAAATACCCTCCAACAAGAACATGCGCCGCTCGTTAAAAATATGCACAAATCACAGGACTTTGTATTTTGCATTAAGAGCAACAAAAAGAATAAAAAAAAAAAATCATATAAAAGCAGAGTTTCGAACTCGAAAGAGAGGTGTTGGTAATTCGGGTTCGTACTTGGTTTATACTTTATATATTTATTTAAATTTAATTTAATTAAGAATTATAAATCTTAAAGTTTTTTTAAATTTAACCTAAATTATAAAAATAAATTTTAAAATTTATTTATTAAAATTAATTTATGTAATAAAAATTTAAAAAATATGATTAAATTAAATTTAATAAAATTATATTGGAATCACATATATAAAAATAAAAATTGTATATTATATATTATATAAATTAAAAATAAAAATTATATAAAAGTAAAAATTAAGATTAATAATATATACTTTTTATTTTTAATTTATATATAAAAATTAATTTTTATATAATTTGCATATATATAAATAAAAAATTTCAATATATATATGAATTTCAATAAGAATAAATCGAGCCGAATTTTAAATTTTTGTATTTAAATATATTTAAAATTTAAATGAATTTTAAAATTATATCTAAATTTTTTTAAAGACTTTAATTTTTTATTAAAATTTTCTCAAAACTTAACTGATAATCTTATTTTTGAACAGATCCAACCCGAAAGGACTTGAATGAGAAAGAACAAAAATGTGAAGGTCACTACCAGAAATAGCAAGAAGTTATGATACTGATAGTGACAGGTGATGATGTTAGAATAAATGCATTTCGTTGACTCTCCACCTACATCATACTGCGGAACATTCACATTCACTTCCCGTTTAACTACACTACTCCTTGTCTCCTCCTCCTGTCTTTCTTCATTTCTTAAGCCGAAGTTTCAGCCTTCAGAAGAAGAAAAGCTTCGTTTTTGAGCTTAACCCAACAATGCCATTGCCACCTTGTTTCTGAGTCAAGCTATAGCTTTTATTTCCTCAAATGGGTTGCTGTATAAGCACTAACAGAGGTTCCCCTCGTGGAAAGGAAGCACATTTACAAGTGGGTCTTGAATCTTTTCACCAAAAACCAAGTCTTGAAAGCAGAGCTCCACCACCTTCAGCTGAAGAAGAAACTGTGAAAGAAGTTTTATCTGAAACTCCAAAGTCCAAAGCTCACATCTTTATCGCACAGGAGGAAGAAGAGAACAAGAAAACACAGATAGAAAAGCCGGTCTTTGTCAAGATCCAAGAAAAGGAAAGCCGCAATTTTAGCATCAAGACTGAGCCGAAATCGCCTGTCATTGAAGAGTCAGCTTCAGAAGATTTTTCCGAGATTTGCAGTGTGAGTTTAAGTGAAAGCGTTTCAACTATAACTGACAGAAGAGATGAAGAAGAAGAACTGAGGCAACAAAAAGTGTTCAGATCTCCAGCTAGAACCGGTTCAAGGAACAGGGTCTTGGGTCGGTCACCGACACGGAAACCTGACCAATCACCTGGCAGAAGAAATGGGGTTGTCAATGGGGGATCGTCAGTGAGGTTGGTCCAAAGCAGGGAACCCACGGTGAGACGTGGATCAAGACCCGACCCTCCAATGAAGGATCCGGGTGAGAGTTCAGGAAGGAGGTCTAGATCACCTGCTGTCAATAGATCTGTAATGGGTCGGAGCCCATCTGGAAGAAGGACTAATCAATCTCCTGGTAGGGTCAGACGTGATCCAGCAGAGTGTGGTAATAGCAAAAAAGTGGAGCAGCAGCATGTTAATACAACTACAATGGAAGGGAAATGGCCAAGTAGCAATAATAATGGTGCTACAACAAGTGCTCCAAACGAATCTCTTGAAAATCCTCTTGTCTCCCTTGAATGTTTCATCTTTCTTTAGATATGAAGAAATGTGCCTTAACTTCATCTTGTAATTTCACTTCTTTTTTAATTTGGGAATATTTTTTTTAAGTCAAAGGTCAATCTGGATCAGAAGGGGAGATTCTGTTGTGCAAGTTTGGGATTTTAGATATCAGAGTTGAGGAGTGGGTGGGTTGTTGTCTTTGTCTGCCACTGGTGGATTTGGAATTTTGGATACTTGGATACGAAATGCCCTTAATTGACCTGTGATTATCATTAATTTATTTCCCTATTTTATTATTTTCTACTCGTCTTTGCTGCTGTAGGAAAGATTTGCATTTCTGCAAGACTGAAACAAGGATTCAATCTCGTACAAAATCATTGCTCCTTTTTCCTCTTTATTCAAAAATTTAAGGCTTGAATCATTATGGAATCCTAACATCTATATTCAATCCAAGAAATGAAAGAACAGCGTGCCTAGGGCGGGCCAAAGTCTAGTTCAAATAAAAGTAAGAATATCTCCCCCTTCTGTTGTTTTCGGTTTGGTGAAAAGGAGTTCTTGGTGAGACATCTTCAAGTGCAAAGCTTGATCTTTAGACATTAATCATGCTTAGATCAGATAAATGAGGTGGTAATAATTATGTTTTTGAAACTGGGATCTTGAGCAAAGCTATCAAGCACTTTGGGGCATGCCAATATTTGCAAATCTTTTTAAGATCCAACTTTTTGTCACAAGACCATGAAGAATATGCATGCATGGGTTCTCATGCTGACAGCTGACTCCTCCATTGCCAGAAAGAAAGAAACAGACAAAGGGCTCCATGCTGGGCCCCACACTGCTCTTTATAACGCCTGAATGAGAGAAAGTAATGGAGGACCAAAAGGGAAGCATAAGTGACTTGCCCGACTTAAATATCCTGTGATCCTAAATGTCAAATTAAAATCACACCAGAAAATGTAGTAAACAAATATGAAGGTGCAAGTTGAAAATTTGGAGTATGGAAAGAGTGAAATCCATATTTGTAGCCGTTGAAGATTAATGAGTAAAGACAGTAGGAGTGGTCCTATATTCAATATTAATTCCGTTGATGGAATATATTGGTGGACTCTCCACAAAGGAATAATGGGGGAAGAGCAGATCAGTTATTTTGGACTGTTTCTTTAGCTTTCTATAGTCGTCTCTTTCATAAGCCAAGGCAAAGATGGAACGTCCCAAAGTTCAAAAATTTTCAACCAAATTGGCTCTGGATTTTGTTTCCATCATAAAAGATGATTATGGAACCTAGGTGTTTTCAACTAGAGGACATGTTTTTGCCCCTACAAGCTACAGTTGGATGGAACTTAGGTTTTCGGTTTTGGGTTGTTATATCAGATTTAGATTGAGAAACAAAAGTCTTCGATGCAACGGCCATTTTCTAAGGCTTCTGCTCTGAAGAATACAAGAGAGTTTCATTTCATAGGGGAAACTCAATGGAAAAAATAGTTCATGCCTATAAGCAAAGACATGCATGCAAAGGGTACTCTCCCAGAGGATTTTACTTATTAGACATCCTAGAGAAACTAGACATGTACATTTCGGGCAGTTACAATGGAACTTGGAAATGAACTCAGAACATGAACGACCCGATGACCTCGGATCATGTAATGAGAAAGAGACTCTGATTGGAACAAAAAGAAAACCCTAGTGTTTAGAGTACGGATATAGCTACAAGTATGTGGCTCTTGCTTTCCAAAGTCTGAAGGAATCTATGTAGCTGCATTCTGCTTGCTCTGTCATGGGATGGGAACTTGGTTTAACTTTTGCTTAGGCTTAGGCTTGGTGGTTGGCATCTCTTGCTTGCCATCAGTTTTGGGCCTTGGAAGATTCATTTTCTTTAGTTTTTCGTTTCTTAGGCCCTGAGCAGAGTCCCAGGGCTCAGCTTGTAGGTCACTAGTCCCATTGTGAGACGTGAAATGAGAAGATATCCATGCGAGTGGAGAGCCTGAAGTGTTGTGTTAAATCTTTTTTACTGCTGGATTCCTTCTCCGATCTCACCCTTACGGGGTCTAAAACCAGCCTGATAGGCTGTAGATAATATCAATTCAACTTATATGGCTGAAAGCAGAAAAGATGGGGAGCTAAACGAGAGGTTAATCCTTACAAACCAACTGGAAATGGGTTCACAATCAGATAAATTGCCATACAATTGGGCACAAATGTCCTTCCTTATTGTCAACTCTCACAACAAAGTCGGTTAACGGCTTAGAGAGAAAGGTAAAAGGGGCAAAATCTTATCAGATAACTCAAGCAACAAACATTCGTCAACTCAAGTTGAGAATACTCCATGGCAGTGAAATTACTTCGACAGAATCTGCCCTAAATGGATCATCATGTCTTGTTTTCAACACCAAAAATTCTAGTGGAAACGGAGGTCCAAATTCACTGTTTTATATTAATTACTCCCATCTGTAACAAGCTGCCGTTGAAGCTTCTTCCCATACTCTCAAACAACAATTATATAATGTACCTCAAATTTTTACACGTAAAATTATCCATTTGATGGGCAATCCAAACCATCTTCAGGATCCAAGTCACTACCTCGAAAAATTTTAAACATGAAATGGTGGAAATTGACAGCAAGGCAATTTGAGTAGGCCAAAGCCAGCCAGCCAACTAAAAACTATCTCTATATACACAATATTTCGATGTTATGGCCAAGAAGCCAAAAAAAAAAAAAAAGGGCAACTCTGATCCAGACTAGACAGTCTTGCCTGTTCATAGAAAACCTCCAGCCAAAGAGTAATCTTAATCATTGTTCGGTGTAGCAGCATGTGCAGTGGGATTTCTCAACTTTGATTTTCTCCTACTGAACTTGCATTAATGTTTATGGAGTTTGATGCAGGATTGACTGATGAGTTGGGTTGATGCCAAGGCAATGATGGGCGTTCGGAGGCATATGCAACAGGAGCTGGGTGTGCAATGAAGGTGGGAATCTCATCCCCAGGCATTAATACTGAAACTCCATTGGTGTATATTGTCATCTGCACAAAGTAAACTACCTTTATATGATCTTTCAATGGAGATTAAGATTCTTTTCTAGGAAATTAAAAGAGCATTTTGTAACATAATTCCTGGAACTAAAAAACTTACAGAAAAAAATTACACCCAAATCCATGTGACATTAACAAAACCAAATGAAATGCTCTAACATAGTTCTCTGAAAAATCATACATATGTCCAGGATGCAACTTGTGATGGATGAATAGTAGGTCAAACCTTGCCTAGGCTTTAAATGCAGCAATCATAGTCCATATATGGACTCATTGAAATTTCTAAAGTTAAGAATTTTGATATGATAGTTCCAATGTAGAAGACAAACAATAATATCAAGGGAATTAGAAAAAAGAAGTTACTTGCAACATCAATAAAAGAATAAAAATAAGCATGTTGCAATCCTTTGGCTTAATCTTTTATTGTTAACTCAGGTAAAAAGGGTAAAAGGATAACGATATTATCTAAAAAATGAACACATGCATAACATTGCAGGTTATCAAAATATCATATCACAGGAGCCGAGAGAAAAATCTGTGGTGAAAATGATACAACAGAGACATAGCTTAGAGACATAATTTATGACACCGGTAAAAAAATTATTAAAAAACAAAAAACAAGTCATTTCAGACCATGAAATTACATTTTTCATTCTCCGAATCCTATGTGAGGTTTGCGTTGAAAGCTGAAACAAGTGACCTCTAATTTGCTTATCAATTTCCCCTCTTATCTCAAATTGGTTCATAATTTGACAAAAATTTTAGTAATTAGTTACATATTGTGTTATGGCCTATCATCTGTTTCAGCACCATGGTAAAGAATGCTTTTCCAGAATTGCCATTAAGCAGGATAAGTTGCTCATGTCAACTAGAACGTATCTTGTTTGTTGACATAGAGGCACTGTCTAAAAGATTTGGCCCGCAAATGCAACTAACTATACCTCAACTAAACAATTTCAATGCCCCCCAACAGGTGCTACTCAAAACTCTACCTGGGACATTATGTCTCAAGATGACAGGGTGCGAATATGGGTCCTTAAGCACAAAATCATGAGTATGGAGTATCTTATGAATTGATTTAGACCTATCAACAGGACTCCACGGACATTCTAATATATGAATATCCCACTGTTGGATAGATTGAACCATTTGGAAGGTTTCAAACCTGCTTGTAAATAAACACAACTTCACAGCAAAGAGATAAATAATAAGCATTACATCACTTAGGGAAAACCTCCTTTCATATGCTCTATCCCACAGTTATAACCCAAAAACAGAAAAATAGGTGTGGAGTGATAGGCACATGGGCCTAATGTGACACATCAAAAGCCACGGAAAACAGTAGAGTAGACTACAAATGTGCCACATGATGGAGGACCACTCTGAGGATACCTTTGGGAAAAATTAACCTAATCTGAGATAGTTCATCTAAATTACCTTATCATCTCCCATAACGAAAGTGCATAACATGTAATCTCGTTATCCACAGAATTTACTGGTCAATTATCATAATGAAGCGAAAAGAGTGCAGATTGCGAACTTAAAGTAAGAAGGCAATAAACTGAAGCTTGTCCACCAAGGTTGACCATTTGTCCCAATCCGAGGTACTGTAGATCAACAACAGAAAGGTTGACACTGGCAAGTCTGGTGATCAACAAGTAAAAGGGAGGGTCTAAACACAAACAATTATAACTATTTGTTAGACTCTTCGGTCTGGGACCAACCACTCAACTTCAGCAGAGCCTCCACTTCTTAGATGGGACATTGCCTAAACGATCATAAATAGAACGAACAGAAAAGTCAACAACTCCAAAAATGATCAAACTTTTGACTAAAAGATGCAATTTTGCAATTGCAGGAAGGAAGAAAATTTAAGCAACTGAGATGCTTTATGCCATGAGGCATCAAATTGCCAGAAAATTAAGCTCTCATTGGCTAACTTTATGGTTAAAAAAGAAATGACTTACCAATATAATCGTTTGAAACAGTCAGCACTTACCCATAAACAAAGTCAAAAGAGAGAACACATTATCCAAAAGTAAATTCAGTAGATGACCGGTTTAAGGGAGAAGGGAGGGTCCCCAAGAAAAAAAAAAAGAAAAAAAAGAGATCCAAAGGGCCATAGTTGATGAGAAATGGTGTACTATTCATGGAGAATGGCTATCAAGGGAAATGAAACAGAGGAGGAAAACATTGAGCTTAGACAAGCAAGCAGAAAGAAAAAAAAATGTCGACAATTTCTCTTTTGCCTAAACTAAAGAAAGTGAATATATCATATCAATTAAGCAACTCTAACATGATTAACAGTAGTAGAAGTACAATTTACAAGAAATGTACATCACGGACAAAGCAAAGAAATTTTTAACTTGAGCCAAAAGGAAGGGTTTACTGCTATACAAAATGTACAATGCAGAGAAGCTTTATAGCAGATCAGATAATATTTAACATAGTAATTAAACCACCCAAACTGTCAAAAGAGAAGGAATTTCTTTTCCTTTTATCCTCCAATTAAACAACAGTCGCCATGTAAAGCAAAGTAACCAGTTTTAACCCCAGAATATCATGGTAAACAATCAAATCCAAATAAAAAAAAAGAAGAAAACTTTGCACAAAATTGAAGAAATCCCAGATGTGGAAACAAAAGGGTGACTCACTTTTGGTGATGGGTGGCTGAGCTTGCCATTGAAACTAAGCTGAGATTCAAGGTCACCATGGTTACGGCCACCGGGGGAAGAGTTGGGTCTAAGAAAGCGCTCAAAGATGGCCATGACTAAGAACATGGAGATGAGAATGGCAGTAGCAACAAAGCCAAAGGACACCGCATTGACAGAGTTGTCAAAGTGTCTCCACTGGTCCTCCCTTTGTGCATTCAATGGAGCTCCTACCGGTGGCCAACTGTAGAAGTAGCTTTCTTCCTCTCCCATTTTTTCAGCAATGAAAAAAAAGAAAGCAAAGAAAGAGGTTTTATCTCTTACTCAACTCATCACATAGCCATTCATGAGATAGAGAAGGAGCCTTGGTAGTGTTAAAGTTATGGCAGTACTTAAGGTTTTTACACCAGAATCAAAAGCTTCTTGGAGTACTTAAACTGGTTAGGTTTGGGGCTTTGCGAGACAAAGAAAGACACAGAGAGAGAGAGAGAGAGAGAGAGTGAGAGACAGACAGAAAGAGGGAAGCATGTGGGCTATCTTTACATGTAGGTGACCTGGAGGGTGAAAAAGATAACTTCGGAATTTGGAGAGGTTTTTTTTATATTTTTTAGTACTATTACTTGTTTTTTTTTTTGTTTTTTAAATTTTAATTGTTGGTGGAAGAACAAACAAAATTCTGGGTATTTGCAAATTAAAGTTTTCTATTCTTTGGACCGAGAGGCATATTAAAGTGTTGAAATTGACTTCTCAACCTATGGTTTCTTCGGCCTTCATGTCATCAAGGTCCAGGCCTTTGAGTTGGACAGGGTTCAGAAATTACAGCAGTTAAAGATTGATGCCACAGCACTCAATGCTGCGGTATGTCCTTAGAAGGTTTGAAGTTTGAACTAAGACATTGTTTACCATGAACTTGATCCTTTTTAATGTGTAATAAGTTTACTAAAAATTTTTAGATTAAATTTTCTTTTTGGGATGTGATTTAGTGAAATGGCACATCCATGGTTAAATTCCACTGTCCCTCTTTTCTCTCTCTCTCCTTTATTTTTTATTTTAATTTTCTGACAAAATTTCATGTTTAAGAAACAAAATGCTTTGATCAAAATCCTGTTCAATTATGCATTCTTGCTGTCCATCCTGTTCAAACCAGCTTTGCACCACTTTACATGGCCAGTTTCACAATCATGCCTGACATCTTATAAAATTTTTATGCTCATAATGCAAACCTCTTTAATAGGAAAGGAAGACTGCAACAGGACACCCAACATGCAAGATTAAAAGATGTAAGCTTCTCCCATCCAGAGTTGCTACCAAGGCATGAAAATGTCCAGCAGACCCAAAGGAAATTAGTAATATTTTCTTTTCCATTTTCCCTTTCAACAGTACACTTTATGAAATGATAATTGTAGACGGATTAAAACACTAAGCTATGTGATGGGCCCATTGCCAGCTCCATAAGTTCCCCCCCCCCCTTTTTTTTTTCTCTTTTTTTTGTTTGTTTCACTTCGGGGACCAATCTAATAAGAAAACCTTAGCTTGTTTTCTCCAGCTTGCTTTATAGTCTTGAACTTCCTTCAGCAGGAAAGGGCATGGGGGGGTGTTCGTGAAATTAGTGGAAGGATTGATGGGAACAGTTGAAGAATGCTAGTGTCCAAAGCAAGAATTGCACTGATACAGACAGAAAGAGAGGGCAACGGATTACAACATGGGAACTGATATAAAATCATGAAGACAAAAGTACCATCTGGCATCTGTTTCTTTTTTTCTTTCTTCTTCAATCTTGAAAAGGGCAACTCTGAAAAGTGGTCCCTGAGGAGCCCCCCCACCCTGCAGGCTTTGGGGCGATAGTGCTATGATTATGTGGCATCCGACATAGCAGTTTTTTGATCCAACGTGGCATCACATCATTAGTCCCACGGCTCCTTCATGGTGAATCCTTCTGGTACAAGAATCATAGCTCAACAAACCAAGAGACTGGCAACCAAACTGTTCAATGTTTTACAATATATGCACGTCTTTGTTGATGCAAGTTTTCGTTGATGAGATGACACAAATAGGTCAGAAAGTCCTATGTTGTAAGAACCATAGATGATGATTTGCTTGTTTTCAAGCTTTTTCATAACTAAAAACATTTGCTTTAGTTGATGAGATGATATAAAATAGGTAAGAAAGTCCCCTGTTGTGAACATGCCAATTTATGAGATGGCATAGCCATTAGCCAATAGCCAAAAACAGTGTTTTGGCCTCATCAAATAGTTAAGGGATCGGCATCATCCGCTAACAATCTGCTGATTAGGGAAGGTGCGGTGCCATTTTCAACGCACTGTGGCGGCTCCCTAAATGGTTGAGCCTGATAGTCCCATGAGACCCCATTTACGAACCCAAATTCATAAACACTCCACATGCACCAACCTCCTTGGAGGCTTGAAACTCCGGCAGGGTCCCACATGTGCCTCTTCCACGTGTCACGTCCACCCTCGTCTTCCACGTGGAAAAACAAAGTCCGCCCCTTAAAAATGAACTCCAACTTCGAAACCGGTATTAGTAAAGGATAATAATTTTTGCCTAAGCAAAAGCTCTCTCTCTCTATTTCCCATGACAAATACGACACATCAGGTTTCTTCTGTCGGCCTTTCAAGGCTCTAACCAACAAATGGACATCTAAATTCTTGAGATTGTCAAATACTTTTAACGGCCCAGATCACCTTTTACATTCAAATGTATCTTGGCCGTTGATTTTGGTGCTAGTAGGGATCATAGTCAAATGGGTCAAACATTGTTAATCTGACGCGTGTACTGTTCATCACACGTATGATAGCTTGTCCAAGTGAGAATCTGACCAAGGAAGGGTACGCCGGGTGCACGGTGGTTTCTGTGTCAGGTAGTTGTGGCCTCGTGGGGTCATGGATCATGGTCAGGGGGCGGCATGGTGGATTGTGCTAAGCTCGGCTGAGGCAGCTGATGAGCTGAGGGCTCACGTGAAAGAATCTTTTACGTGCTTTTATAGGCGTGAGTTTTTGGTCTACTTTCTCTTCTTTTTAGGGCAGGAAAAGCCTGGTCATATGACGTTCTTGAATCTTGACCACTTGATGACTTGGGATTGGGCTCCTCCTTTTTAAGGTTTGCAGGCCAGTGGCTAATTATCATTTGAACCAATTCTTCTTTTTTGCATTTGCTGCATGAGAAGGTCTTACAGACCATTTGGGCTTTTCTCATTCCAGCTGAGGTCTGGGGTAAAAGCTTGAGACATTGGAAAATTGTGTCCATTTCACATGGTCCCAGTCTGAAGCAGGCAGCATCATTTCTTGCTTCAAAATGTGTAAAAAAATAGTATTTATATAGTTCAAAACTATGATTTGATAAACCTCTTGGCAAGTTTGGTAAAACCAGGAGGAGAAACAGCTGAAGAACCCAATGTGGAATTGAAACTGTGAGAGCTGTTTCATTAGTGAATTGTTTCAAACAGCAAAAGCAAAATTGTATCATGTTATGCCTAATGGTGCACATTTGAACCATTGGTCCAACTGAACATAGCATCGAAATACAAAAGGTGACACTTCAACACCAAGATCGACAAATTCATCAGATTCACTTGAATTTTGAGGCCTTTGCCATACCAATAATGTAAATAGGCTTGAATATAGTTATAGCCTTATAGCTTAGTTTATGCTATGATGAATCTAATTCGGGGCAGGGAACCATTGTGACAAAGCAGGAATTTGGATATTTATAAAACATGTTTTTGTTACTCTGATTCAAAAGATGAAGGAAAGGAAAAAAAAAATCCTTGAAAGTCCACATTTCATCAATGAACACACATATTACTACTAGTAAGAGAGCACGTACATGCTTTGGAACCCACACTTAATAGTAAAAAAGAAATCATAGGGGTAGGAAGCAAATCAATATGAGATACTGCTGCCACGATCTGGATCTGGAATCTCACACTTTTGTTCTCCTTAAGCCAACATAAACTCTATTCTAGGCAGTTGGGTTTGCTTATCAAGAAATATCCTTTGCTTCATGCCAATAAAGTGATTAAAATTCTTTTATATATTGATGGCATGCTCTTGGGATCCTATCATGTATCTTCTTATATTATACTCTTAGGAGTATCTTTTTATCTGCTTTTGATCTGTATATGGATTTGAGAAGTGAGAATATTAGGCTTTGTTTTTATTTTTTTTTTGTTTAAGGCAACAGACAGCAACCATGGCATGTGACTTTGACAAATCAAACTGCTAATGCAGTTTTGTCAAAGTCAATGAACTGCTTAATCCTGTTGCAATACCTGTGGAACTTGACTTTGATGTATGCACATTAAAAAAAAAAGAGAGTTTTGTGATTTTTTTTTCTCTTTTTTGATGAAACCTACTCTTTCTGATATTATATGAATAAGATCAATCTTCATCTTCTTTAACCATTTGAACCATGAAAACATATAAAGCATTTATCAGATTTTAACTTTTGGACTTTGACACCAAACACAGACAAGCACCTAAAACTTACTTTCATGCCCTGAACAAGAATATCCTACAAGGATAAGCACAGCCCTGGGAAAAGCCAATTTCTCCCCCAAGTTTGAACTATAGCATTTCCTTGGAAGCAAGCTCCACGTATATTTTTCATCACCATGACGCCAATGTGTGGGGTTCTAATTTCCAAGGTGCTATGTGCTTGTAAATGTGCACAACTCCCGATATCAATGAAACAGCAGTTTGGTAGTTAATAATTGTGCTCAACGACCTTCAAGACGGAATGAAATTGAAATGAGGCCAAAAATAATGAAAAATATCCGTTTGAGATTCCATTTATAGCAGAAGCAGCAGGCCTAAATACTAGTACAAGTTTGCTGCAGAGAAATTCTGCAAAGGCACATGAGGAAGCACCACCAATAAAGAAAGTGAGATCACTAACAAGGAAATCCAGCTAATTTTGAGAGAGCTGGGACTGATTAAGCTGACACGTGACACCTTTATCTTGAATGAATAGTATTGGCTTTGCATATTGTTACATTGCATAGTTTCGAGTATTAGCTCGCTTAGGGTAAGTCTAAAACTCCTCCGGATCTAACTCCCCAAGAGTCCATTGATCCAAAAAAGGGGTCTACCAATCAAAAATTTCAAGTTGAGAACATGGACCAAACTTGAAGATATTGCCATGTGATGTGACCAAAACCTGACACTTCAAAATTCAAAACAATAAGAACGGGCAAAAGCCCATAACCAGGAAATGGAATATTTTCTAGAGGGGTTGGTGCCAAAACTTGTGACAAAGATTGCCATGTTGGCTTAGAATGACCGGTCATCTGACAGGGGACCAGCAATTTCCTTATGAGGCAAAAGTAGAAAAAAGAAACAAGGAAAAAGCATTGAATTGAGGAGTGGAGTTGTTAAATGAGACAAAAGGGAATTTACTGAGAACATGGAAAAGCAAAATGGCTTTGAAGATGAAGACAAAAAGAGAGGAGTAGAAGTAGAGAAGATTATGTAAAACGGACACCTTTCCTCACTCTTCTAGGATCCAAAAAACTAAAAAGGATACTGTGATTTTGATTGATTACTTGCTGCTTTGTTCACCTTTGGATACTAACTCAAACATGATACGTGAGGGCAGCAAGAAAGGAAGAGGTCACAGGCATGAATTTTGCTTACTATGTTGTTGTCCTTGGCTTTATTGATTAATCGGTTGTTAAATGAAACTGGTTAAGCTTGGACTTTTCAATTCTGCACCAGCAGCAGGCAGAACTGGCAAATGGTCCCAATTGAATTCACTTTCCATCCACCATAGTTTGTTTAGGGGTATATAAATTTAAGAAAGTGAATGACAAGAAATACAAGAGAAGAATTACTGTAAATTATGACCTGTGACTAAAGTTGAGAGTAAAAATTAGGAAGGGACATTAGTGAACTTGACA